TTCCTGCAGCTCCGGTTTGGGGTCGTGCAGCTCGGGATGCTGCGGGTGTGGGGCTGCCCTTTAATAAAGCACAGTTTGATCAAGGCCAAGGTCCTGGAGCGTGGCCTTGCCCTGACCATGTCCCCACACCCCTTCCCAGCGAGGAGCATCCCGCTCCCTCATCCCAGGATGCGGGTGCTCTCCCGGCGCTTCCCACGGGGACATCCACGAGCACCGATCCCACATTTTGAGCGGGGAGGGGGGAGGGAAGGAGGACAAAAGCAGCGTAACTCGGGCAGTTCCTCAGGTGCTCGGTGTTTGTTCGCCCTGCGAGGAGTGGCGGCTCCCAGCTATGAGAAGCATGGGAGGAATTCCGGCTCGGGAGGGATCAGCGCGTGTTTGTGCCGTGCCGTCACCGCGGGAAGGTGGCAGCGGCGGCTGGAAGGGAACGGGGCCGGTGCCAGGCGGGGATGGATGAGCGGCTGTCGGGCAGAGCAGGCCGGGGCAGGCCCGCCGGCCCGGGGCCAGTTTCGGCAGCCGGGGCCGCCGTTTCGGTGCCGGGCCGGGGGCAGGGCCGGGCTCCCGCACCCCGCCCTGGGTCCCGCCGAGCCCTGTATCCCGGGAACCCTGCATCCCGCTGAACCCTGCATCCCGGGAGCCCTGCATCCCGCCGAGCCCTGCATCCCGGGAACCCTGCATCCCTGCATCCCGGGAGCCCTGCATCCCGGGAGCCCTGCATCCCGCCCAGCCCTGCATCCCGGGAGCCCTGCATCCCGCCCAGCCCTGCATCCCGGGAGCCCTGCATCCCGGGAACCCTGCATCCCGCCGAGCCCTGCATCCCGGGAACCCTGCATCCCGCTGAACCCTGCATCCCGGGAGCCCTGCATCCCGCTGAACCCTGCATCCCGGGAACCCTGCATCCCGCTGAACCCTGCATCCCGGGAGCCCTGCACCCCGGGAGCTCTGCATCCCGCCCAGCCCTGCATCCCGCCCAGCCCTGCATCCCGCCCAGCCCTGCATCCCGGGAGCACCGCGGGCGCGGGGCTGGGAAGCGGAGGGGAGGGAAGGGAAAGGAAGGGCAGGGAAGGGAAGGTCAGGGATGCTCGGAGAGCTCGGCAGGAGGAGGCGGCTGCTCCCGCACGGAGCCGCTGCTGAGTCACCGCCCGTCAGAGCCCGCGCTGTGTCACCGCTGCTGTCACCGCTCTGTCACCGCTCTGTCACCGCTGCTGCGGCACGCGGCTGACTCAGGGGCTGCGCGGGTTCGGGCTGTCTCTCCTCGGGAGAACAGCCCAGACGAGGCCTTTCGCAGCCCGCCCGCTGCAGGGAGAGCTCTCTCGGGAACGGGGGGGGCTCTGTGAGGCGCGGAGGGGCCGCCCCGGTGGGTGCTGCCCTGACGTCAGGGCTGTGCGGGACGGACCCGGCACAGCCCCGAGTCCCCACTGCCCCACCTGCTCGGGAACACTGAGCAGCCTCCTTTGGGAAGGGACGTGATGTGAACAGGAGACTCGGTGTGTTCCTTGAAATGCTTTTGTTTAGTGGTGGAGAGTGATCTCCTCTCCCAGGAGAGGAGATTTGGGGCTGATCTGGAGTCAAACCGAGCTGGTGCAGGACGTGGTTCTGAGCATCCTGACCTGCCCTTAGTCCATAATGTGCAAAACAGTTTAAAACAGCAAATCCTGATTGTTTCAGGATGTATCCTGACTTAACTGCTGGGCCTCAGTCTTCCAGCGCTTTTCCTAAAACAGGCAGGAGTGTTCCCGGGCTGTTTGTGCTGCAGCCAGAGCGTCCCTCGGGTTGTGTTACCTCATTCCCGAGCCCACTGTGCCCCTGACCTGCACTCCAAGATCCTTGTCCGGGTTTCACAACCTCCCTCAGGGCTGTTTGTGTTGGCCTCGACCTTGGAACACTCCTGGGCGACCCATCACTGCCCCTGCTCTCCTGTTCTCTGAATTTCTGTTAAATCTCGTTGATTTTAGTGCTGCAGCATTTTCCATCCACCATCCCACCCCAGAGGTGGGAGGTCTCGCTGCAGCCCCGAGCCCTGGCCTGGGATCTGCCAGATCCCTCTGCTGCCAGAGGAACAGGGATAACAGCCCGGAGAGCTGCAAGATCTGGCGACTTCGCCCCTCCTGGAATCCCTCTCCGAGCGAGCGAGAAACGAGCTGACGTGGTGGGAACGCAGCGAGAGCCGTTCCCGAAAATGGGAACGTTCCGGGCAGCCCAGGAACGCTGCCGGGGAGAAGGGGAGGCTGGCTGAGCCGGGAAGGCAGAGGGTGCTCTGGCAGAGGCGCAGGAGGGTTTATTTTTGCTGAGTGATGTGTGCTGATGACTCAGCGGGGCCGTTCTGCCGAGTCACGGGAACGCTCAGCCCTGGCCCGGCGCCGGCGGCGGGAGGTGAGTCCCGGCCAAACCCCGCAGGCTTTGCCCCTCTGGCAGGAGGGAGCTCTGGCTGTGTGGGTTATTCCTCCACAGTCAGGTGCCAGCGCAGGCAGGAGGATGTGCAGGAGGCCCGGGTGTCCCGACTGTCCCGTCCTTCCTGCCCAGGCCCAGCCGCAGGCACATCAATCACATCCCCTCCCTTCCCAAACACCGAGTTCTCCAAGGTGGGCAAAGGGACTACGGAGCTGCATCCGGACCCAGGACGGTCCTGGTGTCCCCCTGGCTGACATCACACCCCCCTCAGTGCTGCTCTCCAAATTCCTTTACCTCACGGGTCAGTCCCGCCCCGCTCCAAGTGACATCTCCAAAGTTTGTTTTGGCTTTTGCCACCTCCCGAGGACGCCCTGGGGAGCCCCACCGGGTCTGTGGGTCGATGGCCTGCGGGTGCCAGTGACTGCCTGGTTAATTGTTCACCCTGGGAACAGGAGCCACCGTGCAGATCCCACCGGGAGCAGCCCCGGAGCAGGACCGGGTGCCCTGAGCCCAGTGCAGGTCCTGCTGTGGGATCGGGGAGACAGGGATCCACTGGGGTGCTGGGGAGCTGCAGAGCAGTTGGAACAAAACTTCTGCCCCCTTGCCAAGGACTTTAAAAACACTCATTTGGCAATTCTGCCACGGAGTGGGACTCTCCACGCTGGCCTTCCTCCAGCCAGGCTGGGTTCCCCGGGATGCTGCAGGGACAGGGATGGGGACGGGGATACAGGCTGTGCTTCTCCCAGAAGTCCCCTGAGGTAACTCTCCCTCGGCTGATTCATCAGCCTCCTTCCATAAACAGGAAGCTGGGAAAGTACAGGCAGGTGATCCTGCGCTGCTGCAAACATGAAATACTTGGAAACACGAATTGCTTGGATTTTTTTTTTCCCCCCAGCTGCTGCTAATTCCTTACCCAGGTGCACATTGTTTTGGGGAACTGTTTGCAGCAGGAAGGTCTCTTGAGTTCACAGAACGGACTTAGAAAGAGCTTGACTTTGAGACGGAGCTTTTCCTGCTCCTGATCCCTCCTGCACTGCTTTGGAGCGCTTCAGGCTGGAGCAGGAGAGGAGGATCCTTCCCCCAGGGACCAGCCTGCTTCCTTCTCCCGTTTTCCACAGAACCAGACTTGGTTCCACCCGTGTGTCTCCCCGTGTCACCCTGACCAACGCTTTCCAGGGCTGGAGGGGCGGAGGTTTCCGAATAACCCCGCTGGTTCAGGGAATCATCCCGTGCTGGATCGGGAATGCTGATGGAGCACTGCCTGTTTATCCCACAGCATCCCGTGTTCCAAACGCTGCTCGGGGATCGAGCTCAGCGCGTGTTGGACGCTGCTGCCAAGCCAGATAATCCCTGAGAGTGCCCCTGTGGTCTGGAATAAACTCCCTTAATGTCTAAACCCGGGCGAGACAGCCCGAGCCTGCGAGGATTTGGGATGGGGCAGGAGCTCCTGCCCTGCTCCCCCCGGGAAGGCTCAGCTTTGAAGCTGCCGGGCCTGGGGAGGACGTTGGAGGAGCCTCTAATTAAAGCAGGCACTGCAGGGCTGTGGTGGGCGGCTGGAGGGCCCCGGGAGCGCCGCTGGATCCGGCTCCGTGTTTGCTTTGGCTCCTTCCTCCTCCGGCCCCGTCTCCTGGGCGGGAGGTGGGAGCTGCACCCTCTGCCCTGGCACTGAGGGGTCTGGGGCAGGGCGAGGAGGGGGCTGTGCTGACACCTCTGCAGAGCCCCCCTGGGATGTCACAGAGAAAACCACCCGGGAATGGTGCCTGTCCAGGGGATCCAGCGTGGCCGGAGCTGCCCCCAGAGTGCCCGGCCCGGCCCCGTGACAGGCCTGCATTGTTTGGGGCTGGGCACAAACTCCTTCAGATGCTGCTGCTGCATTTCGAGGGAGGTGTTTTAATCACTGCCTGCTCCTGCCAGGGTGTCCAGCTGCAGCAGGGGATGCAGGGACACGGCCCCACAGGAATGCGGGACACGATCCCGTGGGCTGGTCGGACACGACCCCACGGGCAGGTTGGACACAATCCCACAGGCAGGTTGGACATGATCCCATGGAAAGGTTGGACATGATCCCATGGGCAGGTTGGACACAATCCCATGGAAAGGTTGGACATGATCCCACAGGCAGGTTGGACACAATCCCACGGGCAGGTTGGACACCACCCCACAGACATGGCCCCATGTGCAGGTGGCCCCTCCCCAGGTGACAGGGACACCAAAACCCCACCCCAGGGACGCTGCAGATGGGTCCCCAGGACCCTGGGAGCCCCCCTGGTGCCCAGCTCGGGGTGGGGCTCCAGCAGAGCTTTGCTTCTGTGGAAAAAGGTTCTTATTTTTCCGCTCTCGTCGGCAAAGTTTTTGCTGCTTCAGGGAAAGGGGAACTTGAAGCAAAACCAGGAAACGTTCCATTGGTGTCATCAGAGCTCCTGGAAGCCCTTTGCACGTGGCTGTCGGGGCGGACACGGCCCTTCCCAAGGTGGAGGTGGAAGGTGTCCCTGGAACCGGAGGGGCTTCGAGGCCCTTCCCAACCCCCCCAGGATTCCTGGGTGGTGGGCGGTGTCCCAGCGGCCCCGTGCACGGTGCCAACCCCAGTTTTCCCCCCTGTTTTTTTGCAGGATTCTCCTGTGCTGGGGCCTGGAGCCGATGGCAGAGAATGTCAACAACTAACAACATAGCGCAGGCCCGGAAGCTGGTGGAGCAGCTCCGCATCGAGGCCGGGATCGAGAGGATCAAGGTGGGCCTGGGAGCGGGAAGGGACCCTGGGCAGCTGCTTTGGGGTCTCCCAGCAGGGCTGTGACGTCTCCAGAGGGGATGTTCCAGTGCTCCAGCATTCCCTCCGGGATCTGGGGGAAGCTGCAGAGGGGACTCTCCGTCAGGAGCTGCAGTGACAGGACAAGGAGTGATGGGTTCAAACGGGAAGAGGGGAAATTCAGGTTGGATATACGGAAGGAATTCCTCCCTGGGAGGGTGGGCAGGCCCTGGCACAGGTTGCCCAGAGAAGCTGTGGCTGCCCCATCCCTGGGAGTGTCCAAGGCCAGGTTGGAGCAGCCTGGGATGGTGGGAGATGTCCCTGCCCAGGGCAGGGGGTGGCACTGGATGGGCTTTGAGGTGCTTCCAACCCAAACCATTCCAGGATTCTGTGACAGGTCTGGAAGCAGGAGCTGGAGGAGCTCCTAGGAGGGGTCTCAGCCCTGTTGCTCTTTCCCAGCAAAGCCTTTGGAGCACTCCCAGCTCCAAAGGTCAGGAAGTGCACTCCCCCCTCCTCCCTCTGTCTGGGATCCTGGAGCTGAGCCACCCTCGTTCCCCTTGGGAGAGTCAGCACTGGCTGCTGGGGGAAGACCTGTAATTTAGCTTGTCTTCCCTAAAAAGCCTGGCTGGAGCCTGGAAAGGCCCTAAAAACAGCTACAAACCCTCATGGTTTAAAAAAGAACCAGCCCAGGTTGCTCCAAGCCCCATCCAGCCTGGCCTTGGACCCTTCCAGGGATGGGGCAGCTCTGGGAAATCCTTTCCAGTGCCTCACCCCCCTCACAGGGAGGAATTTCCTCCTCGTGTCTCAACTGAATCTCCCCTTTTTAGTTTTTTTAGGATTTTTTTGCAGTTTTTCAGAACTTGCAGTTCTGTGCTGTCGCTAAACGTTTCAGCAGGAACCAAAAGCTCAAAGTGAGGAAGAAAAGTGGGATAAAACCCCTTTTCTGTGCAGTTTTAGGCAAACCCCTTCCATCTGTGCTTCCACCCCACGGGGTGGGGACCCTCCTGCTGTGCTTTGGTGTCTCCTGGGAAGGCAGATCCAGAGACAAGGAGCTTTTGGGGGGAATCTCCGAGCGTTTTGCAAAATTCAGCATTAAAGTTCTGCCCAGGAATGAACATTCCAAACACCCTCAGCACAGACACTGGGATCCCAGAGCAGAACTTGCTGCAGGGGCAAGGTCAAGGCTGTGCTTAAAGCAATTAATCCCTTAAGACACTAATTACCCCCAATCCCAGAGGGGAGATCGGCTTGGCCTGAGCTCGGAGGGACCTGTGAGGAGATCCTGGAGTGGCCTGGAAACCTCCACATCCCCTGAGAGCCTCAGTGGGACACTCTGAGGGGGGAGGAGAAGGGAGGGATGAGCCAGGGGTGGATTTGGGAATGATCTGGCCCCTCTGGCACCAGGGAGGAGGAAAATCAGGGCTCTGCAGCAGGTCTGGGCCTCCCGACACGCTCTGGTTCCACCTCTGTCCTGTGTTTGCCCCACGTCCCACCAGTGATTGAAGGTCATTTGGACAAAAAACGGGATCTGTTGGTCTCCAGAGCCTCTGGCAGCTCCCGGTGGGCTCTCCCCCTCCTCGGAGCCCTTCCCAAAAACCAGCTTTGAACTCAACCAAGCAGAGCCTGGAGGAGCAGCTTCCAAGGGTTTCCACAGCTCCATTTTTAACGTCAGAGGCCGCACTCAAAGAGGCCTTTCCCTTGCCTGTTCATCCCAAATCCCTCAAAAACGAGGGCAGTAACACCAGCTTTTCAATCTCTCGCTCTCAGCCAGGGTTACCTCCCCACACTCATCCCTTTATTTGTGCCAGACCATAACAACGCTCCATTTCCACGTCCAGTTCCCCCGTTTCTCTCTGCCCATCTCCCTCATTTTCCGTGAGGAAAAGCCGGGTGTCAGCTCCCTCTCTGGAGCTGGGAATGTCCCCGCTCACCTCCTGCTTTTTCCCCCAACATTCCAGGTCTCGAAAGCCTCCTCTGAGCTCATGAACTACTGTGAGCAGCATGCCCGGAACGACCCGCTGCTGGTTGGAGTCCCCGCGTCCGAGAACCCCTTTAAGGACAAAAAGCCCTGTACCATCCTATAGCTCCGGATCCCTCCGGAAGGGCATCCTGCTCCAGCCACTGAAACCCAGCTCCAGCACCTGCCCCCGCGCCCGGGGGTAAACTCTAAATGTTGGCTTCAAACAGAACTTAAATTCCCGAAAAAAAACCCAACAAAAACCCAAACCACACCACAGAACAACCAATTACACGGAGATAATAATTGGGGAGCGGTTTTTAGGGCAGGGTGTCCGTTCCTGGGCACGGGCTGCACGTGGAGAGGGGTCGGAATTTAAATCGGGATTCGGAATAAACCGGGGTGGAGGGAGGGGGGGGGAGGATTTTAACAGGGATATTGGAATTGGGGAGGAGGTGGGGGGGGGGTCGTGGTGTTCCCAGTGGGATGTGAGGCCGGAGCTCCGGGTGCTCCGATCCAATCAAGTCTCCAATCAGCAGGAATTTGCTCTCGTTTCTGGAGAAGGGAACGAGGAGGGGCCCCGGGTGGGAGAGATTTTGTAGAAAATTAGTACCAAAAAAAAAAAAAAAAAGGAAAGAAACAAACAAACAAACAACAACAACAAAAAAAACAGCTGGAAAAATCCCTGTTGGGAATGGCTGGAGGGAGGTGAGGGGGGCCCTTCCCTGCATCTGCTTGGAACAGGGAATGGCCCCGGGGGGGAACAGATCCCGGGAGGAATGTCAGGGAGCCCCAGGGATGGGGGAGGCTGGGACCAGCCCCCCCAGCTGCTCCTGGGGGGTCTCTGTGCTGGGGGGGGGGAAGGACCTTCCAGGTGGGCATCCAGAATCTGGGAAAATGGGCCTTTTGGGGAGTTTCAGCCCAAAACACGAAAAACGGCAAATTTCCCAGCGAGTGGAATTCTTTCCAGGGAACCCAGGGAATGAGGCTCAGGGGGAGGGGATCAGTGAGGTTTAGGGGAGATGAGGGTGAGGAGAAGACACAGCTCAGTTCCCATCCCTTGGGAATCTCGGAGTGGGATTTGACAGGGAGCACCGTGTTCCCAGTGGGATAACCCAGCACGGAGCAGGAAGAGGGGGAGCGGGAGAGCCTTCCTGCCACGGAGCTGGGAGTGTGCTCGGGAGAGAGCCTGGAGCTCAGGGAAGCCCCAGGGAGCTCCCCAGCCGCTGGATCTGTCGGGAAGGGGACGGATCCTGGGATTGCCAAACCCGACCCGTGTCCACAGGGCAGATCCCGGGGCTCAGGAGCTCCTTGGAACGTGGCCAACACTCCCAGAATCCCAGAATTAGGTTGGAATCTGGGACCATCAAGTCCAGCCTCCCACCGTAGGCAGAGGCACCGTTTGTGGCCGTTCCCAGTTATCCTGAACACGGGGGTTGGTTTTGGGAAGAGAAGGAAAACCCCAAACCAACCAACCGGCCACACCTGGTGTGAAATCCTGGGAGTTTCCCCCTTCCCCCAAAGCTTTGGATTTGGTTTGAAACGCCAGAGCCTCCACTGGGATGGGAACCACAGGGGGCGAATCCCTTCATGGGACTGGGAGCACTTCCCATGGGAAAGGGGGGCTGGAGGAGACCCCTGGACTCGGCTGATCCCCCCCCTGCTGTCGTTGGAGGGAGAATCCCTGCAGCCCAAACTGGGGCTGCTGGTGGGAGTCACTGGTGCAGGCAGGACACTGGGAGCTTCCCTGGCTGCTCTCCAGAGGCAGATGGAATTCCCAGGGCTGGCACTGGCTCCCAAGGCACCGGGAGCTGCCGGAGTGGGGCTCAGAGACAGGGAGAGGAGCAGAGCGTGGCTGGTACCCAGGGAAGGGGATTCCTCCCGGGATCCCGGGGGGCTGGGAAGGGCAGAGCTGCTCCGTTTCCATTCCTTGGTTGCAGGAATCTCGCCATTCCTTGTTTTCAGTCTGCCATCACTTGCCTTTTAAACAGAATCGGGAAAATCCCACGTTTTTAACACTAATGGAAACCCCCCGTGTGCGCCCGCCGCGGCTTTCCCGGGATCCTGGGAAAAGCTCCTGTGTCCCCCCACTGTGTCCTGGGCTCCTGACCCGGCATTCCAGGGCACAGGTGACCCCTTGGATGTCACCCCCTCCCGGTGTGAGGGAGCAGAGCAGGGAAAAGGGGGATATTTCCCTCTGTGCCCCCTTCTTGGTGAGTTCTGTCCTAAATCCAAAATAACTCCAAGCTCCCGCCCGCCGGGAGGGAACGGACACTCCGAGTCCAGCCTGGGCTCAGCCACAGCCGGGCTTTCCCTTCTCCAGGAGGGAATTCCCTCTGTCCTTAATCTCGTACAGTTCCAGCCTTATTTTTCTACTCCAGATCGCTGATTCTTCCTCTGTGTTAGAGACCAGAGCATGGTGCTATCCCGGGGCCGCGGGCACGGAGCGGGAGCGGAGCCGGGAATTCCCCCTCCTCCTCCTCTTCCTCCTCCTCCGCCACCCGGGCAGGGGCTGCCGGACCCCCCCCCGGCATCCTCAGGGGCTCCAACATCCCGCCCCTCCCGGCCCCCACTGCGGGATCCTCGGCAAATCCTTTGGGATGCTGGGCCGGCAAACCCAGCCGGGCACAGCACGGTCCAGCACTTTGGGGTCACTCTGCCCCCCCCCCTTGTCCTTCCACCCCCCCCGGGGTCCTGCCCGAGCCGTGTTGGAGCTGGGAGAACGGGGCAGGGAGAAGGGAAGGAGCCGGGAGCTGGGAGAAGGGGCAAAGAGCCGGGAAAAGGGGCAGGGAGAAGGGAAAAGGAGCCGGGGAAAGGGGCAGGGAGAAGGGGCAAGCTGGGAAAAGGGGCGAGGAGCCGGGAGGTGGGAGAAGGGGCAGGGAGCAGGGGCAGGGAGGTGGGAGAAAGGCCGTGGAGCATCTCCCACCCACGGGAGCCTGGGGACAGGGCTGGGGGGTCCTTGGCGTGGGGACTCCGGAATGTGCCGAGGGTAACGCCGGAGCCGGGTGGTGGGAGCTGCCGGCGGGTGCTGGGGCTCCGTGGGGGACTCGTTTCGGTGGAAAAAAATCCTTGATTTTTGAAGTAATTTTTTTTCTTCTTTTTTTTTTTTTTTTTTTTTTTTTTTTTGGCTTTGTTTTTTTTTTTTCGGAAATTCTATCCGCGTCCGAGTAATACGTCTCATCCTGTAGGTGTTTTTTTGTTGGCATAAATAGAAGTGCAGATTCCAGTAGTTGCGTGTACTGTGTTAGTGCATTTGCCAAAAATTTAAAAAAAAAAAAAAAAAAAAAAAAAGGGAAAAAGGAAGAAAAAAAAAAAAAACAAACCACACACACACAAAAAAAAAGACTTTTCAGGACTTTTTAAGTGCTGCAAAGGGCGAGGGGAGAGCGGGAGGAGCCGGAGCCCCGGGCTCCACAAAGGCCTTTTTTTGGAGGTAACCACATGCCCAGATCTGTCCAGCCTTTCTTTATGGCATGTGGTGAAAGCCGGTGCCAAAAATAGAAAACTGGGAAAGAAAAGGGAGAGGGAAACATTGCTTCTATTTAATTTTTCCTCCCTCCTCTTTGTCCTGCCCTCCCTGTCTCGGGGGACGGAGCCGGGAGACTCCCGGGCACCCCGAGCCTGGTGTGGTCCGGAGCCTCGGGATGCTCCCAAATCCCCCCTTGTTTCCAAGTGCTTAAAAAGTCGCCTTTATTTAACAAAACCCCAATAACTCATTTATCCATCGCACGGAGCCCTCGTGGGACCCTCCGCGCTCCTCCTCTCCTTCTCTCGGGTCTATCCTTATAATTATTATTATTATTATTATTATTATTATTATTATTATTATTTGCCAAACTCTGATCTCGTTGCCAAACGCCAATCCAGGTTTGTACAGACTGTCCTTAGGAAGTGGTCGCTGTCTGTGCCGTGGGCTCCTCATCCGTCTGCAGTGCCCGGGTTCGTTTTCCTCTCTCGTGTGCCATAGCCCGACTTCTCGCACAGTGTTTCATATTTCGTGGAATCGTTGTTCCGAAGTGAATGGATAACACAATAAAAAGGCTCACTTTGCATTTTGCCAGATTTCCTCTCCGGCCTGTCCTGCGCCCGGCACGGGGGGCGGGGGGGAGGAATCGGGTGGGATTGGGAATTCCGGATCCTCGGGGATCGGGGGCCCTCTGGGATCGCAGCCCCTCGAGGACTGAAACCCCTCGGGGATCCCCTTCTCCCACCCTTGGGAGCTGCTCCCACCGCCCTGGTGCTCCCCTCCCCATCCCTGGGTGCTCAGCTGGGACCAGGGATGCCAGTTCCTTACGTGGACCCTCAGGGATCACGGACCACCAGGAATTGCAGCCCCTCAGGGATCACAGTCCCTCAGGGATCGCAGCCCCTCAGGGATCCCCTTCTCCCACCCTTGGGAGCTGCTCCCCCCATCCCTGGTGGCTCCTGCCCATCCCAAGCAGCACAGGAGCCATTGGGCATCTCCCGCTTCCCGGAAGGCACCGGAGCCTTTCCAGGCCATGGAGCCGCAGGAAAACGAAACCCGGAGCAACGTTCCTTCCCAGTGTTCCTTCCCAGTGTTCCTTCCCAGTGTTCCTTCCCAGTGTTCCTTCCCTTTTCGGAGAAAAGAGGATCTCGGCCTGCCCCGGCTTCCTGCTCCGCTTCCCAGCAGCTCCAGGTTCCGGGACCGGACCTGCCCAGTCCCAACGTGCTCCCAGGGAGCCGCTTTCCTGGAAGGCAGCGGGATCCAGGCCGGGGCTCCGGGAGAGGCTTGGAGCGAGTCCTGCAGGAATGTGCTGCTGCTGCTGCTGCTCCGGCCGGGCTGGAGCCGCGTGCCGGGAATAGCTGGGCTGGGTCGGTGTCTGACAAACGCCGGCTGGGAAGGGCGGGATGGGCGGCGGGATGGACACTGGGACAGGTGACAGGGAGAGGGACAAACAACGGGCCGGGCAGGGGGACAAACAGCAGGACGGAGGCCCCGTGCGAGTGTCCCACAACCAGCGGGGGAAAGGAAAGAGTCCCTGCCCAAATTCCCCCCAGATTAAACCTCCAGGACGCGCCGGGAGCGGCTCCTCTCCCGGGAACGCGCTTCCGAGCGCCGGAGCTGGCACAGGGCGGCGGTGCCACCAGACCTTGTGCCAACACGGAGCGACACCGGCCGGGTGGCACCGGGCTGGGAGCGGCTAAAAATAACCCGCCCGCCTCCGCCGGGCTATTTTTAGCCCGGCTGCGGCTCTAATTAAATCCCCGCCGCTCTAATTAACTCCCTGCCCTCGGAGCCCCTGGCACCCGACGGCACCGGGTGGCCCAGGGACGGCCGCGGGTCC